TTCAAAGTTTTGAATATCAAGTTTGTTGTAAAAAATTGCACCGCGAGATCTTGGGGAGAAAATAATGGAAAAGAGACAGTTTCAAAGATTGATAGACCAAAAATGACTCAGATAAATGATACCAACTTAAACGATACATAATACCGATATTCGATATTGTTATCTCCGATTGGCGATATATCATCACCGTCATTTTTATCTTTTTTCTTCTTTGAAACTTGGAACATTTTATTTCAACAAGATCCAATTAATTACACATCGAGAACAGGATGAACAAGTAAAATATTCCAAGACGAGTATTCACAAATTTGTTTGTTCTCTCGTGAAAAAAAAAAAATAAAATCTACAACCTTCGTCAATTTTCGCATTCTCTTGCGAGCAAACACCATCTAGGAAACGGGAGCAAACATCGTCGAAAATCAAGGACCGGTCAAGACCAACCCTTTCGCGTAACACGGGCGGGAATGTCGAGGACGGTGGAAAAATGATGGCCGCTCGTTGTATCGCGCGTTGTTGTATAAGCCTTTTGCCGCGTGTCGCGATCGGGTTTAATCGGTTGTGGTGCCCGCCGGGGTGTGCGAAACGCATAAGGGGTGAGTGCGTTTCACTGTAACGCGAAATACGGTAGCGTTCCAATAATAAATTCTAACATTTAAACTTGTCCTCGGTATTATAAAAAGTGGTTGTGCACACAAAAGCGAGAAATAATAGTCGTCGGAATCTCGAGCGTGAACCCGTCTACTAAATAGAAAAAGGTGAAGAGGGGGGATGAAGGAATAGAGAGGCAAGAAAAAAGATCAGAGGGCGCGAAAACGGACGGAAGGATAGGAACAGGAAGACGATGAAATAACATTAGACGAGAGGGGGAAGGGTGAGAGCTACGGAGGAAGAAAAGGATGGGGGGAGGGAGCCTTGTGAAACTTTTAATTAGCAAGCTTATCCATTTATCTGCATGCCGTTGAAAGGGAACGAACGGCCGTGGCTTGCTACCGAAAACAGAAGTCGGGGAAATAAAAGGGTGAAGAAGAAAGGGAGGGAATGGGTAGCAGAGCACCACCGGTTAGACCGATAGGGAGAATGAGATAAGGATGGAGGGGGGAGGGCAGAAGGATGAGAAAGAAGACGAAAAAGGGGGAGAAGATGGCGAGAAAATAAACGAGGTGTGGTAGACTGGACCAAGGCTCGTGATCCCACAACGCGCCACAATAGGGCGGCGACGATGGTTTTGCATATGAAAAGAGGGCCGAGAATGGAGATAGGTGCGCACGTAGTGTGATATTATATCTCGCTACGTGCGCGATCTTCTCCAACCTCGATCCTCCCCCTCCCCCTGTTTCTCTCTTTTCTTCATCCTCCTCCTCCATCGATTCTCTTATCCTCCCGTATTCTTCAATTTCTTCCCTTCTTCCCCCTCCCTTATAGCGTGTATATAAGCTTCTTTTACCTTTTTCTTCGTTTCCCTTCCAAGTTCTTATATTCCATCCTCCCGACAAGAGGCCGATCGTAAGTTGAAAATGCGTGAGGGAAGCTGCATCGGGCGGAAGAGGGAAAGAGAGGACGCGTCTTTCGTTTAAGATAAACTCGTTTCCATAGAGCTAGGCCCTTTAAATCGTAACCCTGTCTCTCTCTCTCTCTCATTGTTCTGCAAATTTTCGACCTCTTGCGAGACGGTTTCTTTTCCCTTTTTTTCTTTCCTACCCTTTTCTATTCCCGTTTATTTTATTATTATCTTCTTTCTCTTTTATTGAAATTTTATCTCCAATTTTATATCCTTCGAATTTCTTTATTCCATTTTGCCTCTTTCTCCTCTAATTTTCTATTTCCTTCTTTTCTTTTTTTCTACAATTTTCTTCTGAAAAAAAAACCCACCTTCGTCCTAGAATTTAATATATCTTTCGCGTACAAGATCGTGCAATAATAGAATTCTTTTAGAGAATACTTAAGCAATTTCAAAACTAGCTTTTTCAAAATTCAATAGTTGCCAAGTTCTTCTTCGGGGGGTGGATTTCGTAACCCGGCGATAAGAACGAAAAGGGATCTTGAGTTTACAATCGTGGGGATCGTGGAGCTGTGTCAATTTTAAATCGACAACGATAAACAATTGACGAGAAAAAACAATTAATTGTGAATCGGTAAATAGAGGTGAGTTTCGTGAGATTACAGAATACAAACTAATTTATTCGTTTTAAATTGTAGTTTATAAATATTTTACGATATTTTTTAATATATTCTATGAATACTCCTTTTAATATCGTTTAAGATATATAAACCAGATACCAGATGCAAGGTGAAAGATATCGAGTTTATATTATATTTTGGTAAATAACAGTCTTGAGATTCCTGAACTTTGGCTTGAAAATTTAATCAATACGTTCAAAAGCGATTTAATATATCTTCGCACGGTGAAATAACGTTAAAAAGACCGATCGATATATTTGTACATGCTCGAAATATTTTACGAGTAAAGTAACACGCGTATCTTTCAAAATTCTTGAAAATTTTTATCCAAATCTTTCAGCGACTTCAACAACAACCCTCGAAATCAAAAATATCGATAATGATCGAAGATCGGATTCATGGAAAGAAAAAAAAGGGAGGGGGAAATAAAAAAAGAGAAAGAAAGAAAAAGGAGAGGAGGCGAAAAGGGGGAAAAAGTGACACGGAAGAGCTCGCCGGGAACGATAGAACGTAAGAGGGGCGGGAAAGTGGCATAAATGTTTCAGAATCGCGAGCATCTGTCGTCCCGGGGACTTTTTCAGTTCCCGTGGAAAAGCTCGTTTTTGGAGCTGCTCAGGAAGGCGAACAGCAAGTAGAGGCAAAAGAAGAAGGAGGTTTACTATCCTCGTATAATGTATTATAAGTGGAGGCACTCACAGAGCCGTCACTACCAAACACTCAAAGCCCTCCACCGCCCTCCCTCGCGTTCTATACCATTCTGTCTACAGGTACCGTGTCTCTTTCCCTCCTCACCAACCAACTTCTCCGTAAATCCCTCTGGCCGCCTTCTCTGTACACTCCGCTTTCGAGTTATCGATAAGAACCGCAGACCTCTTTTGTTGGTTGATAGATAGCCTTTCAGAGAGACGCGAGGTCAAATATTCGACGTGCCGCCGGTTCAATTTCGCGCCAATAATATCTAATCGCGAAATAAGGGAAATTACACAAAACGTCGAGATCCGTGCTTTGTTTACGAATTTGTTCACTTCAGAAATATTGGCCGAGTTCGGTTCACAAATGTACGCACGATGAGTAATGTTGACGGTATCTGGCTTTTTTTTTAATCTTTTAGATCTCGGGATAAGTAAATATACGTATGTAAAGCTAACGAATTTTTAATAATTATTTTTTTAAAAAAAACGCGTATTTATGAACGTATAATATATTTTAAACGTATTTAATAATAACTGATTTTAATAATTAATCTTACACGAAACACGAGGAGACATAATAGAATATAATAAAGAGGATTATAGAGAGAATTTTTATAATAGTTATATTTAAATATTCGAAGAAGCTATATTTAAATTATTATCATGGCACTCGATATTATAATAATAATAATAATAATAATAATAATGACTTTGACTGACTGAAATTCAACTAACTCAATTAACAAAACTAACTTAACTAACCAATTAACAATTTTATTTATGAAATAAATAGAATAGAGCATTAGATTAGGAAAAATCTGACGATCATACCGACGAAAAATTCCGATTCATGATAATTATAATAGTGAGATATCGCAATTTTATTTTATTATATAAAATAATAAATTTTACAATCACTTTGTAAAATGTGTGTGGTGTAGTTATAGGATTTCTCTATAAAAGTATGTAGGTATCTAATAAATTATGCTCCATATGATATGTAATTGATTTATCTTATATGATATATAATTAATAATATTAATAATAATAAAGGATAATTAATAATAATTGCAATAATATATAATACAATTATATGCAGTAGTATATTTAACTTTCAAAAAAATAATAATATAACAAAAAAGCATGAACAAATTTTTTGGTAAATTATATTAAAACTCTGTACATATATAAATATATACATTATATACTATATGTATATTGTATATATGTATATATCGTACAATATTAATATATAATTGTACGTATATATTATTGAATTATTATGTGCAGAAATTTTAAATCTAAATATCTAATTTAAATATCTAAATTGCGAATCTTTCAATTTCAAAGCGTTCTTTATCTAATATATTAACTTAGTTTATTATATAATTAACGAAACGACTCGTATACGAAACGAGTCGGAATCGTTTCAGAGAGCTTCAATACCATAATTAGCATAGTAAAATCATAAAATTCAAGATATTTTATAAATTTCTAAAATTAATTAAAATTAATAATTGTAAATATCAATTAAATTCGAGATATTCGATGTTCGATAAAATTTAAAGCAATAATATATCATTAAGTGTGTGTATAATCATTTAATCAATTATTTAATCAATTATTTAATCAATTGTTTAAATGTTTAATCATTAATTAGCATAGGAATCTAGACTCCCGCAACAAGTTAATTATTATAAAATTCGTTAAGATAATTAATACTAATTTAATAATTAGTCAATTATCAAAAAAATTAGAAAAGCAATAAATTGTCAATTATATTCAAAATTCGAAGCTCCCTATAATAGTCAATGATACATGATTCAAGATGAGCAAGAGATAAATAAATAATTAGAAGTCAATTGTGTTATAATCATAATTATAATTAATATAATTATAAATAATTATAAAAAATATTCCATGAGCATCGTTAAAATTATTAATTGTATTATCATTGTATGTTAAAATTGTACATGGCAATTAAGCCATTCAAACCATTGTGTTATATAATTATTATTGGTATTAATAAGCGTAATAAAACGCCGGTACCTCTTGATGGAGCGAAACCGTGCACACCACAAGATCCGTGGTTGAATCTCGGTGTATTAAGAAATGGATTTGTGAGGCCAGGTGGCGTGGATCAAAGCCGACACCAAGGCCGTCCTGGCGATTCACGAGCACGTGATCACGAACAACGCCCGTTTATCAGTTACACACAGTGACTACAATACGTGGACGTTGAACATTCGTGGGGTACGCCGAGAAGACCGGGGCATTTATATGTGTCAGGTCAACACGGATCCTATGAAGAGTCAGGTACGAGAAAGACTTATCCTTGGCGAATTGCGAGTATACGATAAGGGGGGCTGAAGGAGGAGTGAAAACAGGAAAAGAAAATGGCAATGGAAGTAGAGAATCTTTTTACCCTAGATCCGGGTCAGATTTTTATTGTGCGCGATGCTTTCGCGTGGTGGGTATTCATTTCAAAGTGAAATCCGTTCTCTGTTCTTTCGTGGTGTGTTTTCCGTTCTCTGCGTTCCAAACAAGAGGGAGGGTGGTTAAATAAAATTGGAATTGTTTTTTTGAAATTTCCCGCGAAATTTGGCTTAATTTTCGAAACGTTCTCTTTCATTTCATTTTTTTTTTATCTCATTTTCTCTCCCTATTATCGTATACACACGATCCCTTATATTAAATCAATTATTCATTTCGTTCTCTCGTGTATTGAATTTACAGAGTGCGTTTCTCGAAGTGGTGATACCGCCGGATATAATATCCGAAGAAACCTCGAACGACCTGATGGTACCCGAGGGTGGGTCTGCAAAACTAGTATGCAAAGCCCGCGGTTATCCAAAACCTGAGATCATTTGGAAACGGGAGGATGGCGCCGAGATTATTTCCCGTGCCGGATTGTCTGGTGGCAAAACGAAATGTGAGTATAATTATACCTATTATCATATTATTCGTTATATTTTCATTCTCATCAAAACACTTTCCTTTACGTATCGTATGTGAAAAATGATAAATAAGAATTTAATCGATATTTATCGATTATTATGGTATGATTCGTGATACACATTCTGATATTTCGTATTATTTTATAAGTTTGCGAGATTATCTGGTATTCTGAAAGATTATCTTGAATGGAAATTTGTAAAATTCTATTTAAAAGTATTATGGTTTTCTGGAAGGATGACTAGTGGTATATTCAGATGAAAGAGAAATTCGAAGTTTTGGAGATTTTCAAAAGAAAAAAGAAAAAATAAAAGTAAAATTAAGAGAACAAAATATGGATATAAAAAAAAAATTGTCCGAATAAGAATCGAAATGTTTCACGTGGCTTAAATTTTATTGTCGAAAATGTATATAGATGTTATTGGGATGTCGATTCCTTCTTTTGAATACTGATAGATTCATTTGATTGTTATTTTCCATATTTGCGAGGTCTGATAGATGATGTTTCGAAGTTCAGAAATAAGACTCTAATTTTAGAGAAGCAGGTAACTTGAGCGTTTGTTTTAATTATTACATGTTAAAATAAATATGCACAATGGTGTATAATGCTAATTGATTCGAGAAGTGGTTTACTTTCAATGTGTGAAAATAAATAGGAGATGGTTCTGAAGTTAATGATATATAAAATAAATCAACCGACTGTGAATGGATTATTCGAGTATGTGACAAGAGAAAGAAATGATTGTGTCAATGTATTCTAATATGATAATATATATCCTAATAAATCCCCTTTTTTTAATCGAAACAGTATTTGATTAAAATTTTAGGGATACTGCAATTTTTAAAAAAATATATATATATATCTTTCTAAAAGCGACAAGAAATAAAAATTATTAATATCTAATAAATACCATTGATATTATCAAAAATAAAATATTATTAAAAATATAAATATATATAAAAAAATAAATAAATTTACTGTAAGTTAATTCGATAGAAATGCGCAAGGTATTTCATACCAAGAATAAAAAAAATAAAGAATAGAAATAAAGTATAGAAAATACAAAACCTGTTTGAAAGCCAAACATATATTTGGAAAAGAAAGATAATGGAAAAATATTCATTAAGCATATTTTTTTATCCAAATTTGCAATTTTTACTTTAAAGGGAAAGAATTTTTTTTTTATTCTAAAGAAAATGGCAAGTATTAAAGACGATAGCAAGTCTATCTTTTCTTCCCATTTGTCAGAGGTAGGTTGATTCCCAAGCGAAGGTGAAACTGCATTTTCACCCCTTTGTGCTCGCTTTTACTTGGCGGTGAACTCGAGCGAATAGTATCGACGCGTTAGATTGAAAGCAAGACCTTAAGCTTCGTATCGTAACTAATCCACTGTTTGATTAGTAATCGAACCAATTCGATTATTTACTCGATACTCGGTTAAACGACTGGAGCGTATTAAGTAGCTTTCCATTGGCATCGAATTTCAATCGATGGAGTATTGAACTTTGGTCCTAAGCTTCTTATATTATCTCATAAATATAAAAAAATAATTGGTATAAATCTTATGAATTTATATGAAGACACTTTAACTATACTAATTATTTTATATTAATTATCATAATGATATCATAAGTAATATCTAAATAATTATAAATAATAATTTGAATTTATATTATTTTTAATGCAAATGTTCAGAATTTAAAATACATATATATGAAAATTTTAATAATAAGGAATCACGTTGATGAATATTTTATTTAAAGAAAATAAAATATTCTGCAAGAATATTTCAAAAGATGTGTTAATTAATCACATTTCAACTGGAGATCTCGACTTATTAAGATAACTATGATTATTCTTATTTAATAATATTACCAAGATAATACTTTTAAATCACGAAACAAAGTTTTCTTTGAGCAATTTTAAATTATATTACATCCTCAATGATAATAAAAAAAAATAAAATAGCCTAATCAAATTAATGACATCCTCTTCAACCTCAATCCTTCGATTAAAAATCGTCCATTCATTCGTCTTTCTTTTTTGTACTACACACGTTAAAATAAAAAAAATAATTCTTTGGGCATTTCTAAATCGTATTACTTCCAACGATAAAAAAAAAATTCATAAAAATTAAATGTCAATATTACGATATCCGTATCCCCTTATTCGTTTTTAATCGATTAAAAATCGATCGTTTATTCGCCTCTCTCCTTTTTTATATACATAAATAGTATAACAATCGCAATTTTCCTTCTCTTTGAAAAAAAGAACTAGAGAGAATTCTATATATCAATCGAAATCGTATTTAATAACAATATAACACGATATAATACGCGGCACAATACGTATTATATCGCTCCGTCTCGCTTCGAATCGTAAATAAACAAAGGTTCGAAATAATTTTAAGTTTTGTTTCCATCATTCGTGTCGAGGCAAGCATCGGTGTAAGGTGCGTTTTACACCGCTCTTATCTTTCCCGTGCTCGATTTAAGATTTTTAACAAAGATTTCTCTCTTCAGGTACTCAATTGAAAAGATAGAGAGAGGAAAAAAAGAACCCTGTTTTGTCCAAAGCATTTAGTTCAAATTTCTTTTTTACTCTTCTTCTTATTTTCGAACCTCTGCTTTTATCGGTGTAAAAATATCGTTTAAATATACGAAACGACATTCCTCTTTGTTTCTTAACCAATTAACGGCACAATAATTTATTGAAATAAGCGTGTCGAATAAATCGAAAGCGTAGAAATTTATATCATCCATCGAATTAGATTACGAAAGTATTTTTTTGTATTTTTTTTAATATAGAAACTCTAGAACTTCGAATACTTTCGCCAAACGAATCTTGTTTCTCGATTAACGAATAGCTATCTTATTTATTTTTTTTCTTTTTTAAGAGTACATTGTGGATCAATATTTTTATATTTCCACATTTCTAATGAAACTCAAGAAGAACAAAAAAAATACGAATTTTTGATACATATTGCCCTATAATATTATACTCCAAAAATGTATATACTATACTATTTTACATCTTTTCTTTTCGTTAATCGATAATTCTATAGCTTATCACAGTCCGTGATTTACGTCTTATCCGTACTTACATACAATGTCTTGTTCTTCGTGTGTGAACGTCGCTTCTGTCCTCTTCTCGTCCACGTCGTTCAAATAATCGTGATGTTGATGATGTTCGTCCTTCTGTTGTCGCGTCGTTGTAGCGTTGCACCCTCGAAGAACCATCCAAGTATAACTCGTTCTCAACCCCTGATGAAAAAACGCTCTTCCTTATATCGATGAGTAACTCTCTTCTTCCATAGAGAATTCTTTCGATACGACAATCGTCCTAATTCGAACGATTGAATAGATTGATAGATAGATTCTTGATCCCAAAAAATTTTTCCAAAGAAGCGTGTCTTTTTTTTACGACGCTTCGACGTTGTTCTTCCTTCTCGATCTTCGTATCGACAGTTTTTCAAGGATATCGCATTTCTCACGCGCTTGATCCTTTATCGTTCGAAAGTCGTCGCCTGTAAATTTCTGGACGAAGAAGATGATCGATGTGAACGTGACCAGTATCGTGATTAAAATTTCCACGAATTTGCGGAATATGATGTTGAATAAGGTAGCATCTGTGTTTCTTGTTTCTACCATTTTTCGTTCTAATAAATGGTTGTAAGTATACGATATACTGAATGAACTTCGAATTTTGTATCTTTCGTTTTCTTCTTTACTCTTGTTGAAATTTCTAGAACTTCTGGATGAACCCAAAATGAACTTCTTTTCCACAAATTCGAGCGTCGGATTTTTTCTTAATCTTCTTCTCTCTTCTCGCTTTTCGGCGTTCTGGACGACCTTACACTGTCAAAGTTTTAGAAATGAGTGGCGTAGTGGGCCAGTCGTAGGCCTTTTTATAAGAAGGTACCCCACTACTGGCCTATTCACTTTGGCAACGTGGCACTTCCAACCTACATCTATTTTCCGTTAGAAATCCCTACGAAAATCAACATGGCGGCTGGAAAGACCCAACAATTATCGCTCGTCAACATTTCTTTCTACCTGCAAACTAGACTTAGACCCTGCTATAAATTACTCGAATGTGGTTCCAGAAGGCCCTGATCGATAAGAAATTTTGGGGGAAAGGAGAGAAAAGATGGTTAAAGATATAAAATATAAAACTTTAGCCCTAGACAATTATTATTTTTGCAGGTTATTATTAAAAAAACGTTAATGAAAATTATAAATTGAAGAATAATGATATGATATCATTGAATATTCGATGATATATTATACAATTGCTTTCGCTGTGATATTATATTATTGTCATGGACAGCACTATAGTTATCAACCTCAATATCCGTACAATATCTCGACTATTCCGTGTGCTCTATGATTGGCTAGTATTTTTTTGTCAATCAACAAAGGTAAAACGTTTTTAAAAAATATTTTTGCAACGAAAAATATTCCAAAAAATATTCCCAAAAATATTTTTTGGAACGTATTATATAAAATATCTTATATAAAACGTTATATAGTTTGTTTTAACAACGTGAAATCGGGTCATCTATTATTTCCTCATCTTACTTATTTTCCTTTAGAAATTCTTACAACGAGAGGACAGATAAGAGCCATTATCCAACAGTTTTTTTTTCTATTTACAACTAAAAACTTAGTCTCTTATTATAAACTATTCAACTGTAGTTTCGAAAGAGTCCACTGATTAATCGATACTAAATTTGGTAAAAGAGGAAGGAAATTTAAAAATATAAAATATATAAAATCCTCGATTATTTCTCGACATATTAGTAAAATAACTTTCAAAATCATAAATCATAAATACTGTCCATAAAGACGCGATTGATAAATTGAATAATCGTTGTCTTTATTAACTTATACGTATATACGTTAATAATAAATAATATTATACTTCCATATATTAATTATACACACTCTTCTATACAACATATCTCGATTCTACGCGCTGTGGGAGTATTTTTCTTTTAATAATATTCTCTTAATAACTCGCCAACAAAAAGGAATATTTTTAGAAAGGAAAAATGCTTAACCCATGTGTTTCAACATTTTCAAGGGACACGCCCTTCTAAAAATTTCCGTTACGAACATGGCCTCGTCCTCCCCACTCTGCATACAGATTTTTTAAATTATTACATTACACTGGTTCACTGGCAACGTCGCATCATCTACCAGTTCCAACTTTAACACATTTACTTTTCTTTTCTTAGAAATCCTTGTGATAATTGACAGCTGTAAAAACCCAACGTAAAGCAGATGCCCCTCCCCAAACCTTCTCCAAACCTTCTTTCTATCTACAACTAGACCTAGTCCCTACGTTACAGTTTGCTCGACACTAGTTCAGAGATTTGGAGATTTGGAATTACACATCCGTCATGGCCGTCCATTATTTTACTTTTATTATTATTTCTATTAACGTTATGATATTACAGTTTCAACTGGCTACGTCAAGTAGTATTAATTTCCATTCACTGAAAAGTGGCCAGCAATAATTCTAAAAATTTTATATAGGATACTTTACACGTGTTAGATATTGTAACGTGATATTACGTAATATATATATATTACGTAAATATTATGCGATACATAATATTCAATGAAAATATTTGATTAGTCTCGAAAAATACGTAAATAAATAATATAAATAATACAGTTTCGATCGAATAAATAATATAATCGAAGCTATATAAAATTTTATATTCGGAGTCCATACTTTTTTGTCGATGCGTCATTTGGAGCCCTTTGGAACTATGGTCGAGCGGTTTATAATAGGGATTAGGTCTATTTCAGGTAGAAAGAAATATGGCAGCTGTGTTAGCTGTTTCCTGTCACGTGATTAACTTAGGAATTTCTGATGGGAAATAGTTAAGCTTGGAATGGTGGCTGAGTTGGAAATTTTTATGGAAATTTCCACAGAAATTCAATAGTATTCGATACCAAAGGCAGAGTTTCTTATAGACGTTAAAAAACACTGTATATTCAGTATTTCAAATGTGTAAATGTACTTATATACATTCAAAATTATGCCACGTGTAGCTGAAATATTTAAATATTTTCTAGGTACACGTGGTAAAGAAATTCTACTACTCTCATAATCCCTTGAAATTATTGTTAACGTTGAGCATGAGTCGTAAAATACCACAAAAGGTCAAAACACAATGGAAATGGAAAACCACTAATGGAAAAGTTGCTATTGACAAAAATATTGACGTTCGTATATTAAGTTTCCATTTGTTTCGGTCAACCAAATAGGATTATTTGGTTATTTCTTCTTTTACAATTTCGAATTTATAAATTATCTATTCGAAGGGAACGAAATTGATTTTGAAAATTCTTCTTTAATCCCTTTAAAATTTGTTTACAGTAGCAGCCGCCGAAGGAGAAACGCTGACTCTGTCGAAAGTAACCAGAAGCGAGATGGGCACTTACCTGTGCATCGCGAGTAACGGAGTACCACCATCAGTCAGCAAACGGATGATGTTGCACGTGCACTGTAAGTGAGCTTTAATATCGTTTCATAAGCTATTCTCCATCGAAAAGATCTACCTCTAATTCAAAGATTATCCTCATAGATTCGAACGATAATTTCCACCTAATTAATTCCGATCGGGTTATCAATTTATTTCTAAAAATTTTTATATATGCAAATATCCTCTTGTCCCTATTCATTCGTTCATTTAATGAATACAATTATCGATGTTTAATTATTTCTTGGATTAATAATAGAGTAATAGATTTATTTATGATGATTTAATAATATAGAGTTTAATATAGGACGTTTAATATTGGAAAGGAAAAAGGTTAATGAATAGAATTTCAATTATTAGAGATTCGATCAAAGGTATTAAAGTGATTGTGATTTTAAATTGTGAAGAGGGTAATATATAGAGATTTTTATGAAACGGTTCAATTTTATTTAATGTATATATTTTAAATTAATGTTATAGGAAGGATAAAAATAATACTGTAACGTCTTTCTTTTTTAAATCAAACTTATAAAATTTCGATCAAGGAGAAAGCAATATATTTTTATTGACAATGACAGTGAAATATTTTCGATGTTTTAATAAAGTTCCAATCTATACTTCTTTAAATTCCACGAGCTTTATCAAATATCAATATCAAATATATGTCAAAGTTGAATACATTCTTTCGTTAAGCAGAATGTCAAATTTCAAAAATTTTTCCCTTTCTAAACAATATTTTGCAAGATAATTTTTAAGGAATAATATAGATAAAAAAAATTAAAAATCTATTCTAATCTTTCTATTTTTTTTTTTTTTTCGAAAGATCCAAATCTATAATCTTTTATTAACATTTTTGAATATTTATAGAGCTGTGTGACGCTTGTTTCCTTGATCGAAGAACGAAGAACTAAAAATTAAAGATCCGTTTCAATCCACTTTATTTTTTACCCTCTTAGCAATGTTTCAAAATATTTAAATAACTCCATCACGCTTGTTTCCTTGACTGATTCAACGTGAAACTGTAAATTGAGTTACATCACGCGACATACATACATTCATACGTTTAATGTATTCATCATTCGTATTACACATGCAAACTTCACAACTTGTTTCCTACCACAATATTCAGAACAGATACACTTCGAAATTCGCGTTATTACATTGTCACAATAAAATAAAATTTTTCCACGAAGTTTGAAAAATTTCAAATTGAATGTATCGCCGTTTATGAACGTTTTATTCTTATACTTATCCTTTAAAAAAATATATCCTTACAATAACGAAATTCGAAATTCTTTTGAGAATCAAAAAATTTTACGAAACATTTTATGCGAATGTCAATCGACCGTTCATTTCTCATTAATATTTTTAAAGACAATATTTCAAAAGACGATGCAACAATTGTGCTGCAAACAATACTTTTGTACAGAATATTACAGGATTTAATAATAAAACAATTATTCTTCTTCCCTTTAAAATTATCGTTCGCCGTAAAAATCTATTAAAAATTCTTTTGTCCAATCCTTAAGCATTTTCCTCGTGAAAATAGATTAACTTTTATCTTTTTAATCTTTCGTTTCGCGTTTTCATGAATTATTCTATATATATATATATATATGAAAATTGAGAATAGTAATTATCTTATTAAATGGTAAGACATTATTTTAATTCATTTGTTGAATAAAAAATTTTGGAAATAATATATCGAAAACTTTTTCGATGATATAAATCGGGCAAAAAGTAAAGTTGGGGAATTAATAATTCTATAACACGTACGTATATTTTTTAAAACTTTTAAATCTCTAAAAATTGTATGAAATTTTCAAACGCGTAAAAATTCTAGATATCTAACTCTAAATTTTTAAAATGCTAAAAACTTCTAAAAAATTCATAAATATCGACTCGTTGATCAAAAGCAAGAGCGTTATTATAAAATATATTTATTAATCGATAAGATAATTATTAAAAATAATCGTCGATATATTTCGTTTACTTGAATAAAATTTTGCCATCGAGAGATTCTTTTTCTTCGAAAATAAGAATACAAAAAAGAAAAAAGAAAAATTAATCCTTCAAAAATTTCTCCCAAAATTCTTTCAAATACTTACGACAAAAGCAATCGAAATTAACGACTTCCAATTACGTGTTCACGTTACACGTTCAACCGTTTCTCTCGATTCTAACGAAAAAAAAAAAAAGAGAGAGAGAGAGAG